CCCCTGTCACGACTCCCCCTCCCCCCTCTCACACCACTTTCCCATCTCATCTCTCCAAATGGTGGTTCCTCTTCTTGTTATTTGCTCTAGCCGTTCACTTTGTCTGTTGGACGGCTCTCCTTTGACCTATACGACACGACATGCCGTTTGTCTCGGGTCCTATGTGTCCTCTCGTGCGTCACTGGCTGTGTACGTACACTCTTGTAACTAGCTTCTGTGCACATAACTGAGACTGAGCTCAGATACAGCATTGTTACTAGCTTGTTACTGTTAGTTAAAAGTTTGTATCTAACACAGTACTGTGCATAGAAGTAACGACAACTGTCCTTATGTATTTTGAATGCAAGACAGGCGCGTATCGCACACATTATTTGTTGGGCTGCGCAAATTATCTTGCCGCTCTATAAGTGAGAGCAACGCAGTTTGAAATGAATTGCGGTGAATTACGCTTTGAATGGCGCGCCATACCTAGTTTGTTTTCGTGAGGATGGGTGGCTAATGATAACGACGGCATATTATTTCAAACACGTTCTTTTATTCATTTTTCCGAAAAAATTTACTTGTGTCATACAGGTTTTCTTGTTTTATACCGTAGATTTACGAAAGATAATTTAGGTTAAACAAAAGGAAACAGAATGGATTAAGTTAATTTGATACAATGGGGACAAACTCGTTCTTTACCTTTAAGTATGGTGTAATTTATGTTTTATTAGTGCATATGACTTGTTGCAAGATTAAATTCTGAACACTATCAGAAATGGTAAATGGTATTTTTTACATCTGAATCAATATTAGGTTATTTTCGATAACAGTTATTTTCGAAAAAACGCCAATTGAAATTTTACCTAAATCGCAAAGGAAAATCATACTCATTGTTGTTAGCCACGCATGCGCGGTTTACATCAATCTGCCGCTGGCAGAGATAGATGGCGTATCCGCGCATGCGCTTTTGGTGTTGTGTTGGTGTTGATGTTTTCAATGTTTTTCAATAAAATTATAGTAATGTTTAGTTTGCAACTGCAACATTACGGTTACACTATCATAGCTGTATGCATTACTATTTTTTCGCTGAAAGTGGGGTCTAAATTACACCATACTGAGCACAATACTCGTTCTCTATCTCCCAAGAATAGGTTGTGGGAGGTAAAGAACGAGTAAAAATGGATGTGCGTTTGCAAAGTTCGTATACAAACAGCCCCGTGCACTGTGTGCTCCGTCGCCGTTGAAAATCCATTTGTTTCAAGTAAGACCTACTTAGGCTGGATCCCAACGCAGATTGATACAAATTCACAATCACAGCATTCTTAATTGTTCCACAGATTTTGGGCTTCACGTTCACTTCACATTTTCCGAAAAGCAAAACATACACCAATACAGGAGTGTCTGAGGAGGAAAGCCGGTGATAGGCCTAATCTAGGAACAAACCTTAGGTTTCACGATACCTAAATCAGTTAGGATGCGTGCTTGCGCCTTGACAAAGAGGAGAAAAAAACTGTCGATTCAGCGTTAAAATGACTGATATACAGTAGGGTGTCTCAGGCCCCGCACTTGGGGGGGGGGGGGGTTACTGAGTGCACCGCATTCAGGCCTATAGGTGGGTAGTTGCCTATGCTCGCTCGGCATCATAAGGCGTGACGGTTGGCATACCCGGACACCTCACTGTATGCGCTACAGTATTTTAAAAAAATATAACAGGAAGCATGGGGCTTATGGGACATCCTGCCAGGCCGTATAGAGTTTTTGCTGCCTCTGCGTTAATGTTTAAAATTTTACGTACAGTTCAAGGAGCGAAAATTTGTCTGGTATGGTGTATCAGGTTAACAAATAATATTTTTTCCGTTGATAGCATCAGCATCTTACAAGAAATATTTGTGCGACTTGCCTATTTTCATCTCTTTTGCAGTCTTCTTTATCTCCCTGTCTTACTAAACTTAGATCCGACTATCACACTTTGCTCTTGGCTTTTACGTTTACACAAATACACAAAGTTACAATCTGTTTCTACATTCTCCACTACGTATTTCACCACTTTTATCCACTTTATAAAATATATACGTAGATTAAATGGAATAATAAAAATAAAAATAAGTTAGAGTGGACTACTGTTCCCGCCACCTGCACGGACTATGCTGCGTGCTGGCGCGGCTCTCCCCTTCCATTGCTGGGGTCCTTGGTCAGACGGACGTCGGCGTGCTGGCGCCCGAGCCCTCGCCGAGGGCCTCAGTGGCCACGCCGAGGAGCAGTTCGCCGAGCTGACTGTGCTGGCTCTGCTGGGCGGCGCGGGCGAGGGCGGCCTGCGAGACGTTGCAGGGGTGGTCGCCGCACAGCGCGCACAGCGCCACCTCGTGGTGCGCCAGCTCGGGCGCCTCGGACAGCGTCTCAGATCGCGTGCATGGCGATCTCCTCCCCTCGCGCGGATGTCGAGGCGGCGCCTCCGTGGCCCCGGCGCGTCTGCTTGCGCCACAGGCCCCGACCCGCGCGAGCGCACCACTACCTAGAACAAGGGAGGCCTCAGAGCGGTGCACCGTGGAGTGGAGACGGCTGCGCCCAACACAACACAGAGCTGCTTTAATTTGCTCTTGGAGAATCGCTCCTGTTCTTGGAATTTGTGTTGGTCTGCTCTGTGGACGATTAGCTTCGACAACGATCCCCTAACCTCACAAGTGCCAAGTTGGACCGTGTCGTACTGTGAAAAAAAAAAATCGTCTTAAAATGAGAATATAATGGCTAATTTTTTCACAACTGTGTAGTCATGGCGGAGTATATCAATTATGTAAATGCATGGTTGTAAACAAAAAAAGTAAGACACACAATAGCCATGTTGTTCTAATTTTGAAGACAAACTTTTCTTTAATGTGGACAGAGTTCATGAAACGCAAGCGTGATTCTCACGCCAGGCATCATTTTCACGCTCCGTAAGCTTCACGCAGCCAATCAGGAACCAACGTTCATCTCGCTGGGGCGTGAAAATCACGCCTTGCGTGAGAATCGCGCTCGCTTTTATAGAACTTTGTATCCACCTTAACAGTGCGCGTGGTGCCCGGCGGATGGTAAAGGCCACGTGTGGTGGATGAGGGGAGGTGTGTGGCCTCGAGAAGAAATTGTCGCGCGCGTGAGCCTCGTGCGTACATCGACCAGGTGTCGTTAATGCGACGCCGCTCTCGCGTTGCTCTCTAATTACAAAGCTCGCGGCGCCGCGGGGTCTGCCCGTCACGCTGTCAGGTGTCGCCCCGAGCATGTGCCGTACGTACGCGGCCCGCCAGTACGGAGGCGTCACAGTGCGGCTTGTAAATGGGGTAATAAACTGGCGGCGGCTGCCATCAGAAGTTTAGGAACGCAACGAATAATGTCGTCTGCGTCTCGTGTCCCAGACGACATTGGCTAGGACGGGGAGGTGACGTGGAATTAGCTTGCGCTGTTAACTGGTTAGGTAAAAAGTGAAAAGGGCGTATAATATAAGTCCGTGTAAATGGGGTAATAAACCGGCGGTGGCGGCTTCCATCAGAAGTTTAGGAACGTAACGAATACTATCGTCTGCGTCTCGTGTGTCCCAGACGACTTTGGCTAGGACGGGGCGGTGACGTGGAATTAGCTTGCGCTGTTCACTATGGTTAGGTAAGAAGTGAAAAGGTCGTAAGTCCAATGTGAAGTCCTAGGACTTACGCCCTTTTCACTTTAGACCCGTGCGTTCAGAACGTCTGTCATTCGTCCGTTACGGACCCGCCAAGTAAATTCTAAGCACGCCGTCGTAGCGCCTGGTAGGTAGGCAACATCTTGCCTGCAGTGCATGCGTGTATTGCGGGACAGCATAGCCCGAGTTTCGCAGGCGCCGAGCTCCCGTACTCTCCCCGGGCGACCCCTCGTCGTGTGTGCGCGCGACTCACCTGAACTGGCAGTCCGACCACCACAAGCCGCAGCCGCAGCCGAAGTACTTGGCGGTGCCGCGCACCAGCTGCCACAGGCAGCGGCGGAACGTGATGCCGCACATGGAGTAGAGGAGGAAGTTGATGGAGAAGTTGGTGTAGTACAGCAGCATGGCGAGCTGCTGGCCGAACCACAGCGCGGGGTGCTCGGCGCGTGGCTCGGCGGTGCTCACGCTGGAGCCCGTGAGGTCGGCGATGGACGCGTACACGCGCAGCACGTGGCTGGCGGCACGACACGACAAATAGATCGTAATGCAAACCGATTGTTCGTAAGAACCTCCTATAGAAGGCTGTAGCCTTACAAACAATTGCTTTGCAATATAAACAATGTCTTTGCAATACAAAGAATGAACATTGTCCGTAACGTTGTAAAGCATTTAGTTCGTAAGCAATTTTCAGTTTGGAGGGGGGGGGGGGGGGGGTGTTTCGCACGTCTCCCGCGACTCACCTCGGTAGGTTGAGGACTATAAAAACGGAGCTGATGAGGAGGAGCATTTTTGTGATGCTTTGCTGGGTCCTCGTCGAAACGAGAGTTCTCCCCGTCGAAATTTCTGGGAACAGAAGAAAACGCAACGATATAACGCAGAGCTCCCTCTCCCCCGAGATGCGCGGCGCAGTTTCCCCCCCTGGCCAGTCATTGTTTTGTGGTGCTCCCGTCTGCTGAGGGGACGTGTCCTCAGGCTACCCACGCTACTCACGTATCGGCTGCTGCTTGGTGCGCACGAGCCCCGGGCTGCTGTACTGTGGGCGGTGCCCCGGACTGAGAGCCGAGCCGCGGCCGGCGCCCGGGCTGGTGCCGGGCCCGGGGCCCGGGGGCTGCCCGAGGGCGATGTCGGGGAGCTCGCTGGTCGGCAGGATGTTGGTTTCCTGGGTGGGAGGGGCGAGCGCCTCGTGGACCTTGACCGACGGCAGCCCCTTCGCTGTCGCCCCTTTGGCGTGCTGGCCGTGTCCGGCCGCCGCCGGTCGGTTGTCCTTCGGCGCCCTGACAAAGGGCGCGTGGACCGAGGTGCTGATGCGGCGGTTGGTGCCACTGCTGCTGCTGCTTTCGCAACTCTGCACACAAAAACATGTGCGGCGCATTGCTTCGTGTCGGGCGGGGCGTCCCTAACTTTTGGGAACAACAATGACCCTAATGAGGTTGGACCGGGGCAGACTCAGTTACTTCGCCTCAGACTCTCCTATCATGGCAACCTGTCGTATGTCATGGCCACAGTGCTTTTTTTTTCAGTCCCCTAAAATAATTTAATGAGCTTATTCTTCCGCACCTCTCCACTGTAGAAATATAAAGTTGTCAAAGAAAATACATTTTGGTTTACTGTATTACTGTTTAAAATCTACAAAGTTGTTTGGAAACAACACAGTTGTTCGGAAACATACAAAGTTGTTCTGAAAATATTTTCGGTTAGTTTAGCCTACATTACACTTTTTTTATGTTGCGGGCCCCTGACTTTTAAACAACGGAACTATTTTCTTTGCGTTTGGCTCTCACAACTATTGCGGCTACAAGAAAAACAAAACCAAACAAACTCCAATCTGCTGTAGCTAAATGTTAGATGAGCAAACCATCACGGACTTTTAAACTGCTCCAGCCAAACTTACGCTGTGGTTGCCCCATACGCTACGTGTACAGAATACCCTGTGTTATCTTGTCTCCCCTGCTAAAACAAGTAGACCAAGAGCAGACTCCACCAAGTCCCAAACCATGACAACTGGGGCGCGCTGTACCCTGGGTTTTTACTCAGTCCATGCTCAGTCCAGTGTGATCTTTGTCGGGCGCGGGCGCGTCGCGCGAGGGTGGGTGTGTGCATCCACAAATCGATTTTCGTTGATGGCGCCGCAAAAACTTCATAAAGGTCTTTTTCTTTTTCATTTCGTCCCTACCTTTTCCCGCCAGGCGCTTCTTGAGCCTCTTGTCGGGTGCTTTCTGCATTCCCACCCAACAGGAAACTCTGGTTGCGGGCACCTGAGCCTTCTGTCTCAGTGTCTGGCTTTGTCGTGGTCCGAGGATCTGAGAACGCTGCAAATTACCCTGATTCTCCGATACCCCCTCCCCCTCCTCCCCCTCGTCTCCCTATCTCTGCAAAGCCAGTTGTCCAGTAGCTCTTTGCCTCGTTTGTGTGTTCTCCTCACCCGGCGTTAAACCGGGCGGCACACTGTTTGACTGTGATTAAAAACCAATACCTCGGCCCCCGGGTCTCGTCTCCCGTGTCGACTGTTTGCCTACCTCTCGACCCAATTGTGGGTCTGTCCAGCTGGTCGGGTCGGCGGCAGATATCCCCGGCGGCGCTTGCTTGAATCGCCTCCCAAACAGCACCAGATTGCGCGTGATCATGGTGTTCATCACAATGATGAGGATGATGGGCACCACGAGGGTGATGATGGCGTCCACCAGGTTGATGACCCGCATCATGCCCTGGTGCTGTTCCAGGAGGTCGCACGATTCGTAACCGTCCTGAAAACAAATTTTGCGGTTGGTGTGTTGCGTGGGTGGCGCGCGGCTACTTGTTGAAGAGGCTCTGTAAAAGAACATACTCTAAACTTTTTGATTGAAAATTACCTAGTAACTTCTAATTTTTATGTTGTCAAGTATTTTTAGTACTAATGAACATTTTCGTAGAATTACAGTTCCGGTATTGGTGGCTCTTAAGTCGAATGACATAATGGCCTTCGGTTACACTGCATGCCTACCCCACGGAACAAAGAGTGAGCCCCTTTCACCCTTCACCCTTTCCCCTCTGACACCCCGATCCTCGGGCTTGTGGTCAGTTTGCTTATGGGCTGGGTTGCACAAGTCGGCAAATACGGCGTCGCACCCCACTTCGTTTTTCTTATTGGCAGGTCAAGAGGGGTCGGTGGCCGCCAGCACCACCTACAAGGGGCGGGGCCACCTGCCCCGACCAGGGAGACGTCCACTGCGGCTAGTGCTGCTTTTGTCTGACACCCTCCCAGTTTCAAAGATGAAGCTTATTTGGCACTCTTCTCAAATGTTTTCGAATTACAGCAATCCGTTATGAATTATATTTTAAGACGGGGAGGGGGGGGGGGGGGGTCACTCTTACAAACTGCGCATTAAACTAAAAATGTTTAATGGCTTGCAGCTGCCGTGTAACTTGCCTTGTCGCGCACCATTCCCCGCGTCTTGAGGGTGTAGATGTGGGCGACCAAAGCGAACACGGCGATGCACGCCACGATGGCTTTGGCCCTGGCCACGGTGCACATGTGCGGCCGGTGCAGCGGGTACTGCACGGCGATGAAGCGTTCCACCGTGAAGGCCACTATGAGCCACACGGAGAGAAAGGCGCACACGGATGACACGTACGTCACGATCTGGCACCACCCCTCCTTGTTGAAAACCTGCGCAAGTAACGACGGCCTCGTGGCAACCATTATGTTGAAATCTCCTTCCTCTTGCACTCTTCTTTTGTTCCAAAAATATGGTTTCCCTACTTTGGCGGGTAGTAACAGCTGCCCCGAGAGTTAAGAAGCAGGGAAATAGAAGGCAATAGGGAAGATGCCATAAAGGAACGCGACGGACAATACAGCGACCCGCTGTCGCCCGCTGTGCGCGTCAGCTATGGCGTCCTGGTCTATATAAAGAGGCACCAGCTACAATAGAAGCGGGACTCCCAGAAATCTTAAAAGTCTTATTGAAAAAACGTTGACTAAAACCGTTACCTTCGGAATTATTTACTTTTTAAAATATATTTTGGTCAAATATTTTTAAAATTATCTGTTGAAATGTTGCTTTGTAATCGCTTTTTGTGGTGTGTGTGAGGGTTCATTTTCTCATCCTTAGTGCACTCACCTGCACACCGTGCACGCTGTTCAGCCAGACGAGCACGAGCACGGCTAGGTAGCCGAAGTCAGCCGTCGCCAGGGCGGCCAGGTAGTAGGACGAGGAGCGCAGGCGCAGGTGCGTGTTGAGGAAGACCACGCACGACAGCAGGTTGCCCACCAGGCCCATGACGATCATGACGGGCACGTAGTACTGGTGCAGGAACTCGACCACGTCCTGGAAGAAGTAGCAGCACTCGGGCTGCGAGGCGGTGGGCGAGGCGTCGCGGGGCCGGTGGCCAATGATCGTGTCGTAGAGGTCGTGCCAGTGCGTCTGCTGGCCGGGAAAGTGGTGCGCCACGCTGACGGGGAAGGTGACGCCGGGCACCAGCACCGACGCGTTGGAGGCCGGCGCCGAGCCCAGGGCGGAGCCCAAGGCGGTGCCCAGGGCGCCCCCGAGCCGGTGGCTGAAGCCCTGGCCGAAGGCCTGTCCGAAGCGGTCGCCGTGCGGCGCACCCCCCTGCGGGCCCTGCGAGGGCGAGCCGTAGGTGGGGCCCAGCGGCCCACGGAGCCGCGTGTTGTCCAGCGGGGCCTCCCCGACGGGGCCGCCCAGCGCTCGGAGCAGCGCCACGGGCAGGTCCTGCGCAGCAGGCCGGGGTTGAGGGGGGGCGCGAGAGGCACCGGGCTTAATTGCCTTGAATCTGTCACCCCTTCTTACCACCCCTTCCCTTTCTCTTTACCCCAACCCAGCCGCTGTCTGCTAGTCGGATATCAGGCAAAGAGATGTCAAGAGCAGCCGAGGACTCATCTCGTTAATTGAAGAGGCCCTCACAGCCAAAGCTGGAGCCGCGTGGCGTGGGATGAGCCCGCACTGGTTTTGCGGACTTATCCCAGTTTACCTCAATCGTTTAGCGTTTGCCGAGGCCTGGGCCACTTTAGAGCCCCCCC